AAAAATGAGGAGCTGATGCCTTGGGCTTAAGTGGAGACCAAATGTTTTGAGAATGATGAGGGCAATGAATGTACAAATGTGCTGTACACAATTGATGTATGTATGGTTTGTGATAAGTGTAATAAAATGATTAAAAAGAAAAGTCATTCTAAGTAAATGTATAGATATTTATTTTTAATTATAAATATAATTGTCTTTATAGCAGTATACCCATTATAATTATTCTTCAGTCTTTGGCACCAACCACTAAAGCTAGTGATGTAGAAATGGAAGAATTAATTATATGAACTTCTTCAGTTTAAAATTGATCAAACATGCACTCAAATGCATTGATAATTATTGATGATTGGAATGGAAAACTTGGAAATAGAAAAAGGAGTAGTTGGAAAATATGGTCTTGGTGATAGAAATGAAGTTGGAGATTGAATTATAGAAATTTTAGGATAAATGACTTGTTCATAGCAAATAATTTTTTTCAACAACATGAAATAAACAGGGACTTCTCCAAATGAAATACACAAAAATCAAATGGACTTCATATATCGAAGACACAATGGCAAAGCTCAATACCAGCAGCTAAAAACAGACCAGGGGTTGACTGTGGGACAGACCACCGATTGCTCATATGTAAGTTCAGGATAAAACTGAAGGAAATTAAAACATTCCATGAGAGCCAAAATACAATCTTGAGTCTATTCCACTTGAATTTCGAGAACATCTCAAGAACAGATTTGACACATTGAAAACCAATGACGGAAGTCCTGCTGAGCTGTGGGATGATATCAAAAACACTATCCAGGAAGAAAGCCAAAGATCATTAAAGAGACAGGAAAGAAAGAAAAGATCTAAGTGGATGTCAGAGGAGTCTCTGAAACTTGCTATTGATTGTAGAGTAGCTAAGGCACATGGAAGAAATGATGAAATGAAAGAACTGAACAAAAAATTTCAAAGGGCAACTTGAGAAGATAAAGTCAAATGTAATGAAATGTGCAAAAGTGGAGATAGACCATTTCCTCTCCTCTTTTTGATGTAAAAAAATTATAGAAAAAGTAAGACAACATGGAAGAGTCACCCTCAATCATACTACTATTAAACATAAATTACTTCCATTTCTACTCTGGAAGTTTATTTCTATGTTTATTCTGATTTATAGGAGATGCTTCAATAGCAGTCTCTTACATTTTAGGGTTGCATATCTAATGCCATTTGGCTTCAGAATCTGTGTAATGTTAAAAATCAAAAATACCAAAACAAAACAAAAACCTGTTGCCATCAAGTTGATCTTTACTCTCTGAACCTGTGTAATCACAGAATCTGGGCCACATGGCTTTTCTTTATGCAAGCAGACAGCCACGTCTTTCTCTCTCCGAGCAGCAGATAGATGGGTGAGATAGTTTATTTAAGTGGGATTAACTGAAGGGCAGAGAGATAAATGGCTTGGTGAGCCTTGCCTTTCTTGTCTCTCGCTCTGTGATCATCGGACCAGTGTGCGGCTGCCTTGCTTGTTCTGTGCCTCAATTTAAAGGCTACACTACCTGTGGGACGCCTAGCCTGTGGACTGTGTCGCTGTAAGTTGAGGTCCATTTAAGACATCTCTGGAGCTGGGGACTGGCGGTTGGTGACCTGCCTTCTGATTGGCTGCTGTGCTGACATAGCCTAGCTCTCTCTACAAATAGAGGAAGATCTGGCAGCAGACTAGACTTGAAGGACTGCTAGTCTCTCAACTTTCTCTCATGGATGTGAGTTGCACTGAGCCATTTGTAGTGCTTTCTAATTTAAGTTTATTTCTTGTATTATATATTTATCTGTATATGATTTAACAGTTCATTTCTTGTTATATATCTACTTATCTTTATAAATAAATATGTTAAATTATCGGCAATTTGGTTTTATCTCTCTAGAGAACCCTGTCGAACACAATGGGTTTGAATCTTGGACCTTGTAGTTACTGGCCAAATGCTTAACCACTGTGTTTTCAGTACACCTTTTATTTAATGTTAGTGGCTACAAATAAAAAATAAATTATAGCCTAAACTTTAAAGAACTTACAACTTCCCTTCAAACCCAAATATTTATGAATCCTTTTGATCGTCAAGGAATAACTGCTTTGCTATGAATATAAATCTTAAAAGAAATGGTAACTCTGATTTTCTTCCCCTAGATTTTGGACTGGTTTGTACAGATATGTTTGGCCCTGAAACATGTACATGATAGAAAAATTCTTCATAGAGATATAAAATCACAGGTATGCTTTTTAAAAAAATAAAATCACTGATAACTTCTAAATGGATAAAGATATAGGCTTTGGATTGTCATAAGTCACAGTTTTGTTCTTCCTTTACTTTCTCCTATTTCTGCATCTGCATACTGTAAGACTTTCTGGGTTTTTCCCCCCCATATCTTCTTCCTTGATTTACTACTCTATTATGATCCCTCCCACTTCCTTTGAGTTGATTCCAACTCATAGTGATGCTGTACAGGGTTTTCAAGGCTATAAATCTTTGCAGAGTTGATAACCTCATCTTTCTCCTGTGGAGCAGCTGGAGGGTTTGAACTGCTGACTTGTTTGGTTAGCACTCTAACCTAGCCAATAGCACCACCAGAGCACCCTCTCTATTATAGTGGAACGACAACAACAAGTGAGTAAGTAAATACACACCTAAGATAATTATTTTGATATCTTGCCTATCTGAAGATGTCTTTATTTCCCTGTAATGATAACTTGGTTATAAACTTACAGGTTGGACATTGTTTTCCTACAGATTTTTAAAAATGTTGTTTTAATAATTTAATTATTAAATTACATTTTTTTTGTAGGAATTTAAAGGTCTTTAATCTAAAAATTAAATTATTTCCAGTGCTGTAACTTAGTGATGTTTATTTATCATTCTGTTTTCTTCCCATATTTTCATTATACTGTGTACTTTTGATCTGAGAATGTGTATTTCCTCATTTCTCAAAAATATTCAGCTATATCCTTTCAAATATTGCTTTTCTGTCTCTGCCTTGGTTGTCTTTTTCTGAATTTCTTTTGAGGCACACTTGAACTCTTAATATATCCCTTCAAATATTTTTTTATTTATTCATTCATATTTTATCTCTTTGTCTCTTCCTGTTATATTATAAGTGAATTCCTTAGCCTCTTGTGTACATGAAATCCATTTTTGATTTGTTCATTAGTGTTTATCCCATCTATTTTTTATTATACTATTTTTTTCTCTTAAGATTTACATTTTATCCTGTTTTTTAAGTTCTTCTTTATGTTTGGGGTTTGTTTCATATATGGAGCCTTGCTGACATAATAGTTACTCCTTGGGCTGCTAATCACAACTTCCTAAAAAGCCACAACCCTAGAATGAAGAGTCGGGACTATGACAGTAGCTCAGTATCCTCACCTTTCCTGTCCCCAAACACTCCCCACCATCCTTACTCCATCTCAGTCAACTCCATTTTGCTTAATTTTTGGCATTAAACATGTGTCTGTTGTAAATCTTCAGAGTGATACAGAATTTAGGATCTGCTATTCCACTGTTTCAAAGAACATTAGTGTTTTTTATTAATGAATGCAGAATAGTTGGGTAAATTATTAATATTTTTTGGTTGATTTGTTACTTTTAGGCTACTTTATACAGTTTGATTTTGTTGAAAGAAAATCTACTTTCAATGAAAAAAAAACTCTACATGCAAGTACATTTTAGATGCCATCAAATTCACTCATTTAAAATGTACCCAAACTCAAATTCATAGCAACCAGGCTAGAATGTGAGTCTCCAGGACTGTAGCTCTTTATGGGAGTTGAAGGCTTCATCTTTTCCCCCAGGAGTGGCTGGTGGTTTTGAACTGCTGACCTTATGTAACCAACAGCATAACCAATGCATAACCACTATGCCATCAGGGCTCCTCTTAAAATGTCCAGTTTGGTGATTTTTAGTATATTCATAGAGTTGTGGAAACCCTACAACTTTTAAATTTCAGAGCATGTTTAGGATTTCAGAAAGAAACCTTCCATCTAATAGCAGTCGCTGTCTACTCTCCCTTCCCCCAGCCCCTGGCACTCTTTACTGTTTGTCTCTATAAACTTGCATATTCTGGACTTAATATAAATGGGATCCGAAAATGCATGCATTTCTTTAAAAGTTGGATTATTTGCCTTTTTATTATTGAGTTGTAGGTGTTAGGCTATAAATCCCTGTCAGATACATAATTTGGAATTATTTTATTCCCTCTGTGGGTTTTTTTTTTTCATTTTATACATAATGTCTTTGATGCAAAAATTTTAAAACTTCAATGAAGTTCGGGTATTTTCTTTGGCCATTTTTGCTGTTGGTGTCATAGTTAAGAACAATTGCCTAATCTAAGGTCACTAAGATTCCCTCCTATGATTTCTTTTTTTTTTTTTTTTTAATTTTAAATCATTTTATTGGGAACTCGTACAACGCTTATCACAATCCATACATACATCCATTGTAAGTGAACCACATTTGTACATTTGTTGCCATCATCATTCTCATAACATTTGCTTTCTACTTGAGCCATTGGTATCAGCTCCTCATTTTTCTCATCCCTCCCAGCTCCCCTCTTCCTCATGTACCCTTGATAATTTATAAATTATTATTTTGTCATCTTACACTGTCCGATGTCTCCCTTCACCCACTTTTCTGTTGTTCATCCCCCAGGGAGGAGATTATATGTAGCTCCTTGTCATCGTTCCCCCTCCCCACCCCAGCCTTCCCCTACCTTCCTGGTATCACTACTCTTGCCAATGGTCCTGAAGGGATCATCTACCCTGGATTCCCTGTGTTTCCAGTTCCTATCTGTACCAGTGTACATGCCCTGGTCTAGCCAGATTTGTAAGATAGAATTGGGATCATGATAGTGGGTGGGGGGGAGAGGAAGTTTTTAAGAACTAGAGGAAAGTTGTATGTTTCATTATTGCTACACTGCACTCTGACTGCTTGTCTCCTCCCTGCAACCCTTCTGTGAGGGGATGTCCAGTTGCCTTCAGATGGGCTTTGGGTCCCCAATCTGTACTCCCCCTCCTTTACAATGACATGATTTTTTTGTTCTTTGATGCCTGATACCTGATCCCCCTATACTTTTTTTCTTTTAGAAGTTTTATAGTTTTAGTTCCTGGGTTCAAGTATGACCCATTTTGAAGTATCTTTTATGTATGATATGAGATAGGTCTTTAAATTCATTATTTGCATCTTTTGAACCAGATTCAGTTTTATGAAAAAAGTTGACTCAAAACTACTGTAACTACTTCTGTTTGTTCTGTCTTTTACAGAACATATTTTTAACCAAAGATGGGACAATACAACTTGGTGATTTTGGAATTGCTAGAGTTCTTAATAGGTAATATATCCATAATAAACTTTGTGTCTACATAATGCCTCAGTTACATTGTAATTTATGGCGATGCGTATCTAATCATTTATAGTATCTCCTCATAATCTGATGTTTCTATAATGATTCTCTTTTTGTTCTAGTACTGTAGAGCTGGCTCGAACTTGCATAGGGACCCCATATTACCTGTCACCTGAAATCTGTGAAAATAAACCTTACAATAATAAAAGGTATTTAAAAGGACACTCCTTACATGATGAATTTATTTTTAAATCCTTTTCTACTTACTGTTTTTATTGACCTTCTGAATAGTATTCTAGCATCAAGAATATACGCTCGTATGTTTTTATGTATAAATAAACATGTAAATGTAATATATACTATATATAAGGTTTATATATAAATGTATCTATACTCATGTAAATATATATGAGAGCACTTCAAAACATTCATGGAAAAAATCTCTTATCTTGTCATTTCATTTTTTCCATGAACCTCTCATAGATATGCGTATAGCTAGGGAAATTGTAAAGAAACTGTACCAGAATTTTGCTGAAGGAAACAAAGGAAGAATCATGTTATCATTTAAGTCATGATTTGAAAGTAAAGTACTTTTGGTAGTTTCTCTCTTTATAATAGTCACTTCCTATGAATTATAAAAGCTAATGTTTACTGTAGACTTACTATTCTAGACAGTATTTTGAATGCTTTCAATGTGTTAATTCTTTTAATCCTCTCAATAACCATGTAAGATATAAGTATTAATCATTCTGCTTTTATGTTTTACTTTGCAAGAAGGCTATAGGTGATAAGAAGTAGGGTTAACTTTCATAAGTCTGTTAGCCTTGTATCCAGGATAAGCAGTTGACACCAACCCCACATTTCTAATCACATAACTGACTGATTGTAATATGTGAGTGGGAAGAGGAATCTTGTTATTGAATTCCAATTATCCTTTATCTTAGTTTAACTGAAAAATTTCAACCAAGAAAAATTGTTCTTAATTTTGAAGGCACCTATGTAAGCTACAAAATAAAATCCTTACAACTGTACAATAAACAACATCATGGTAAATGGATAAAGGGTCGAAGTTGTCAAGGATTTTATTTTACTTGGATCCTCAATCAATGCTTATGGCAGCAGCAGTCAAGAAAGCTGCTGCAAAGACCACTTCAAAGTATTAATGAGCAAAGATTTTACTTTGAACACTAAGATGCAACAAACCAAGTCAAGAAAGCTGCTGCAAAGACCTCTTCAAAGTATTAATGAGCAAAGATTTTACTTTGAACACTAAGATGCAACAAACCAAGGTATTTTCCATAACTTACTATGCCTCTGAACATTGGACGTTGAACAAGGAAGGCCAGAGAAGAACTGATGCATTTGAATTACAGTGTTTGCAAAGAC